TTAAAAATACAATCATAAAAGGGGAGCCCACCCCAACCAACCCACCCCAGCTCATCAAGTTACATCAGGACTGAGCATGACCGCTTCCCCTGTGATCTGGCAAGGCAGAAAACCCCCTGGGGGGTGATCAAAAAGCATGCAACAGAGTCCATGTTGGAGACAGTACCCCCTCCCATTACTAAGGGATCCACATGAAGACCAAGCTGCCCATCAGGTACATATGTGTAGGGGGCATAGGTCCAGTCTATGTGTGGTCCTTGGTTGGTTCTTCAATCTCCACAGGGCCCTGGCAAGTTGGCTCTGTTAGTCTTCTTGTGGAGCTCCTGACAGCTCCAGGCCCTTCTATCCGACCCCTACTTTTCCACTAGATTTCCTATGCTTTACCCAATGTTTAGCTGTGGGTCTCAGCATCTGTTCCAAACCGTTGCTGGGTGGAGCCTCTCAGAGGACAGCTATGCTAGGCTCCTGTCTGCGAGCATAGCAGAATATCATTAATAGTGTCAGGGGTTGGCTCTCTCCCATGGGGTGGGTCTCAGGTTGGGCCAGGCATTGGTTGGACAATCCCTCAATCTCTGTTCTATCTTTATCCCTGCACATCTTGTAAGCAGGGTAGTGGGTGGGTTGGTGTTCCCTCCCTTTCACTAGGAGTTCTGTCTAGTTAGAGGGTATCCTCTTCAGACTCTATGACCTCTGCTACTAGGAGTCTCAGCAGGAGTCACCCTCATATCCTCCCAGAAGCCTACTTGTCTTAGGTCTCCGGCTTGTCACAGAGATGCCCCTGCCCACAGTTTCTCTTCTCTCTGCAAGCTCTCTGTTCCCTTCCACACAACCACCCCCGCCTCCCCAGGTCTGATTATCACCATTTCTCTTTGCACTCCCCCTCCTAGGGGAGGGAGGGTGGGTCCAGGAGGAGATGAGGGAAGGGACGACGATCAGGATGTAAAGTGAATAAATTAATTAATTAATTAAAAAAATAAACACTTTATCTCATATTAAAAAAATAAAAGAATCGGATCATAAACTTCTTTATAAGGAAAGAACCAGACAGCCTTGTAGTGAATGTAAAAAAGAGAGGAAAAGATGATACTGAAATACACTGGTTAAGCTGAAAAATGAAGACCAGGTTCAGAGACACTTAGAACCCAGCAAAGCAGTCGCACATACAGCTGGAGACCTCAGAATGTTTAGTGCAGGAGGAGAAGGAGAATTCCCAGCATGGGGTAAATCATACAGCCGATATAAAAGTTTCAATACACTCATGGAACTATGAGCATCACCATAGAAACTTCCAGGACAGGGACTGGGCTTCGGAGATGTGCACAGAGAATGCTCTGTAGGAGGAACTTTACTGAGAAATCTGAATTTTGACCTTTTCCTGGGCCAGTTATACCTTCTTCAGTTCTCCCGTTCTGCTGGTGGCGACTGTAGCCAGCCACATGGTCACAGTGTGAAGCAAGCCCCTTCTGTCCCACAGCGTTGCTAGGGTGGGATGCTCTAGGCTGGGATTCGCAGGTGTAGGGAGCAGATTTTTTGTTTGGGATGCATTTAGTTGCACGTGACCTCGACATACCTCAAGGAGCATCTGCATGCCCTTGACATTTAAGCCTGGCCAGTATGGAACGAAAACAGCCGAGAGCAACATTATTTGTGGTTGCTGTGGCAGAATAGCTGCTCATCATATTTTACTCTCCCTTTTTCACCGTGTGGAGCCAATGCTGGGAACGAGGTGGAGCTCAGCCAGGGAGCCCTTTTTAGCCTACACACTGGTCTCACAGTGAGCATAGTGTAGGTGAGGTGTTCATTTCTAGATTTCACTTTGCTAGATCCAGAGGGTGATGAGGCACTATGCTTCTAAAGAAAGTTCATTGGACTACACCCATGCCCAGTTGTTTACTTGTTGCCATAGTTACAGCCTCACTACCAGGGTGAGTAGAGCAGTTGAGACAGACTGAGCCTATAGTTTACTATCTGGCCCTTTAAGAAAAAGAGCCATTGCTTGGAGGATGGTGGGGGATGACAAGGCAACGAGGTTAAGGAGCCTGCCTCGAGGGACTCCTCTTGGTGGAAACCTCTTCCTGGACGGTTAGAACAATGAATAAAATGATGCGGCACGCCAACTCATGACACAATTGATGCAAACGTGTAAGTACAATGCTAGCGACTTCTAAAACAGTTGCTTCCAGGAGTGTCGGGTGATTCAGGAAGGAAGCAATACCACACGGCTATGTCATAGGCACAGACTGATGTTTTTTTTTTTTTAAAAATTCATTGTCATTTCACACCCTTTGAAAGCATTTTACTCAGTAGCCTCTTCAAATTACTCTCAGGGAGGAACATGTCCTTATATTCCTTACACCAAAAGCACCTGTCATGTATAAAGACGGTGACTGTAGACTTCCAGCTGTAAGAGCAATGGAATGCAAACATGTGCTTGTCAAGCTGTAATAATGCACATAAGCACAACTCAGACAGCATGACACATTATCACGTCACCTTTGCCAGACAGGGTCTTGCTGTGTAACCTCCCATCAGGCCTAATGCTCTCTACCTCTGGCTCCTTTGAAGCACTGTCAACCTAACATTAATAATAGGATTCTGCTACGCAAGAGACAAGTAGTTATTCAATTGTCTCCAATATTATTATGCATTGCACATATATGAATTACAGAGGTGTTATATGCCATGTGCATATTTTTATATATAAGGTAGGTATTTTTTTCTGGGCCCCTAAGAAAAAGAGCCACCCTGCTAGGCACATGACATAAACTTTCATTTTATTTATCACTTGTATAGTGTCTGTCAAATTGGAATAATCTACAAATGTAAATACATGTTGGAATTCTTAAATGAAGTACAAAATCTATTGAAATGCTAGTGTGCATGTGTAGTTCTACGGTGACGTCGATTGTATAATATATAGGTTTTCAACTCCCAGCCCGTGCACAAGACGAAGCAGGAATCACGTGCCATCTGTAGACATAGACATTTCCACTTTGACAGCGTGAACTGAGACACTTATTGGAACTATTCAGGGACTCTTCAAAGATGCTAAGAAAAAGAGGTGCAGAATTACTGTTCACAGTGATCTGAAGGAGCTAACTTATAACAGCCAACTTCATTAGGGGAAACACAAGGTTTGGATAAATGGAAAGGGACCTCATGTTTCTGACTTGGGAGAATCCATCTGCTTTGAAATTATGAATGTACTCTTAATTAACCTAGGAAGGTGTTGCATTCCCAAACAAATTTTGACAGGAGTAAGTTAACATAAGAAAAACTGTTCCTAAGTTTTATCTCTAACATACTCTTTGCAAGTAGCCAGGAAACAATAGACAAAGCAGACCAATGTAAAGACGTTTTTGAAGATAAATGCCAGACCAAAATTTAAAATACATTGCAAAACTTTGGACAAGGCAAAAATTATATGTGCCTTTTAATCTAAGCCCTGAAATATTTTCAGAGGCATTTAGATTTTTAAATGTGTAATCAAGGGAGTGTATATGTGTAGCAGATGATGTAAAAAGTCTGTGTTCTCGAGCTGGGAAATATTTTCAGTGAGAACAAGTTTAGGAACTCTGAAGAAAAGACGAATAGATGACAGAGAAAGAGATTTGAAAGCGCTGCGTGTGCAATCAGGGTGCAACAGGGCAACGGGCTGGTAACAATGGCTGCCACACTAGTGATAGATGTGGGGGTTTTGTTTGTTTGTTCTGTACAAGTAGCACGTATGAGGAGAAACACAGGAAGCGTGAAGAAAAGAGAAAAGGCTACCGGCTGGCAGTGTGTAACGACGGGGGGAAGGCGCAATGTCAGCGTGAGCCAAAAGTGCAGATTAAAAGTCTTTTGCCTATAATCGAGAAACGGATGAGAATATTATAGTCGTATAGTCATATGGAATAGAACGTTCTAAGACACGATGAGAGAGGCTCCACGGCGTTTTCTCCCTCTCTTTCCTGTCTAATGAAGTCTCAGAGCAGTGATGGGGAGCGCGCACTCCTGAGAACTGCAGGCCAAGTTCAAAGACATTCAGTGTGGAGGGAGGTGTGAAGAGGGCAGCCAGCCCCTGCGAGATGTCTGAGCGGGGCGCCGGAAGAGGAGCCAGTGCCTGCCCTGGAGTTCGTATTTCTATAGCTACACACCCCCAAGGAAGCATCCACAGCGTCTCTGAATAGACCGAGATGTGCATCACCTCGAGCTAACTGACACTAAATATAGGTTAGAGTGAGATGTCCTCACACATGCTGACAACATACTGGACCACTTAAATATCTATTGGCAAATAGTATCCTTTAAGCATTCTCAGGAGCTGTCCGTGTGCCCAACTGGAAAAAAAAAGATAAATCAGTTTGCCTATGGGAACTTTCATCTTCTCCATTCTCCTCTGCTTACCTAGGCCCAACTCAAAGCAGAGCTTAGCTGAACTCTGCTTGCATGCTGTTTGGATCCACCTGAGGTCAGTTGGCCAAAGTCTACGGAATGGGCTAAGGTTACTGAGGGAATTAGAGACAAACATCGCGTAAGAATTGTCAGTTTCATGTGGGTCATAAAGTGAGCTTTGCTTGGGAAAGCCTGGACATTGAAATCTCCATCTCTACCCCCAGCACACAGCAGCCAAACTGCTATCTCCATTACATTACTTCTCTGTACCTTTCACTCACTAATCAGTTTGGTTTTTAAGATCTCACTTGAAGCCCAGATTGGCTTAGAACTGACTATGGAGCCTGGGCTGCCCTTGAAATCATGACAATCCTCCTGTGTCTGCCTCCCAAGTGCTGGGATTACAGGTGTGAGACATCATTGCTGACTCCTCTCATCTCCTGCCTCCTGCCTCTGCCTGTTTAACACAGGAAGCTGAAGATAGTGGACCTCTGGGGATGAGTGTTTGCTTGGGGAGCAATCCACGGCATGACTCCTCCAAACAGGGCTCCCATATTGCCAGAGCTGTGGCTGCCCGTGGTTCACATGAGTGGGGCAGAGGTGCCTCCCCCTACCCCAGCTACCTTTTATAGCCTCTTTCACTGAAGAATCCATAGGCAGAATGTTCTTCTCCACCAGTTCCAAGGGCCCCGGGCGGAGAGCAATCTTTTCATTGAGGTCATCTGCGAGGCGGGCTCTTTTCAGCTTCATCTGAGCAGTTGGAATGGATCTTTCTGCCGTGGAGGCTGAGAGGTTGAAAGGGACAGGATCCGTTTTAGAATTTGATGTCATTTTGTTTGGTTTCTTTTTTTTTCTTTTCTTTTCTTTTTTTTTTTTTTTTTTTTTTTCTTTTTGGCTGCTGGTTACAAAACAGTGTGTCACACCATGCTCTACCATCCTGATAATTTTTCAATGCAAGCATCATCACTTCACAGGGATTAGCACCAGAGAACAGATACTTCCAAATAAAGGCAAATGAAGAGGCGCAGGAAAACTGGAGAAACTCGCCTTGAGAGGATTTGTTTTAGGAAAAAAAAAATGCAATTTGGCAATTTTGTAAGCAAGCAGCGCATGGGTCCGTGTGGCTTGCTTGACCCTAGGTTCCTGGCTTTTGGGAATGACTGGCACAGGCTGTGGGCCTGCAGTAAACATGCTCTCTAGCGATAGTTAGCAGTGGGAGCGTGACCTTCTGGGGGTTTTAGATTTGTCAGTATTGTGGTACTGACTGAGAGTCAAATGTTCAGATTTGTTGTCAAAGGAAAAAACAATCTTTTGAAGTTGATATTTTAATTAAACAGAAGGATTTTAAAAAACTGAATCCATCCAACAGGCAGTTTCCGATCATTTGGAGGGTGGGAAAGGTTGGGTACAGAGTTCTAAACTCTCCCCTTTATGGCTGACCCCAAAAGTCCTCTTTAGGGTGGGCTGTGACTGATTTCTGTAAAAAAAAATATGAAGGAGAATCCATCCAACCTGTTGCTCTGTTGGAGCAGCTGTAAGGTAAGGGGCTTCGGGGGTCTCTCTCAATACACGGAGTTTAAAAGATGAGGGCTTTATGGATGGCACATAGTCCAGGAGGTTGGTACACTCTGCCAAGCTGCCCTGTAGAAACGCCGACCCAGCCTCACCCTACCAGCAGGGCACAAAAGCCTGCATCTCATGCATTCTTACCACACGCGGTATTTATTTTTATTTGCTAACTCAACCATTGAAATGTCTGTATCTCATTTGAAATGGCATTTCTCGGGCTATTTGTATAGCTGTAATTTTGTGCTGACACAGCGGCGGTTCTCAGGGTCTTCATAGATGTCACTGTAAAGGAGGTTAGAATTTCGTCACTTAGGCCTGGGTGCCCTTAGACTTTTTCACAGCCTTTCCTCCGGGTTCTGCGCTGTCTACCCCCTGTCTTACAGTGCCTCACTTACTCCGTGGCTGGAGGACAGTCAGTAGGCCAGAAGAGTCAGAGATGATGCTGATCAAAGGGGAAGCACTCCCAACATCCACCCTTTCTCAATGCCTTTCCTACCCTGTGGAGCAGCATCCAGTCTTGGAAGGCAGTCTGCATTCTGGAACAAGCACACTGCGCCTCCACCTTAAATGCCCTTCCTCCTTCCTGAACTGGTCCATGCTTCATAGCTCTGCCTCCTCCCTTCCCTTCCCCCGTCTCTTCTGAGAGCTCTCCCTTCCACGGCCTGCTCATCACATTCACAACACCAGGTACTTTCTCTCGCGCTGGGCGGTGAATGCCGATTCTCCTGTCTGCCTTCTCTGATACCATGTTTTATCCTGTGAGTCTACACTCACAAGATGAGCCGGCCACCATCATCAGTACATCTCACTGAGCAGCTACTTCATAGAACGTGTCCGAGGAGAAGCTGAACCTCCCTGGAGCTGGGCACCAGTGGCCTGAGGATTCCCTCTGCAGGAATGGAGTCTCCTCATTCAGGTGCTGGACTACGATGGGAGCTAGGTGTTCGCCCTGCTTCCCCTTTCCAGACCTGGTCCCGGCACCCGGGGTAGAACTGCACGGATCGGTGCTGATTTTTCCGAGATTGTTATTTCCTGCACACTAGGACATAAAGACATCCACAGGGCAGAATCAAACTGCTACCCGATGACTTCTACGGCAACAGCTGGATGAGTCCCCTCACGTATACAGAGAAATATGATGCTCTGTAGGTGCTCAGTGGAATTATGGAATCGCCTGGACTTAGAGTCACGAATGGCATAGATGAGTCTGGAACTAAAATCTGAAAGAAATATGTGGCTTTCTAAGTCTTCTGTATGGTTGAGAATGACTGGATGGCTGCTTAAAATGACCTAAAGCTGAGATATATATATATTCCTAAACCAAGTTATCTATCTATCTATCTATCTATCTATCTATCTATCTATCTATCTATCTATCCAATTTGGTTTAGGGATATTCTTATTTTATTTAAATATTTAAATTAATTTAATTTCGGAGAGGTTTTTTAAAGGGCTCAGCAAGCACAGAAACAGAAAAGTCTAGAAAAACAGCCTCCTGCCCCGCTAGGCAGGTATCTCTTAGTTCATGATTTATGCAGCCTTACCTTGCAGAATGTGCATATTAACCAGGCTGGCACGATCGGACCTGTTTCTGCCCTTGTGCCTCAAGGAATCTTCAGTCTGTAGAACAAAACCACAGAGAATCACCTCTTTTTAACTTTCAAAAACTCTCAATTTCTCTTAAAAGGAAAAAATACTATTTGGATAACAAATGGGAAATACCCCTTTTCTCCCATGTTTTTGCAAAGAAACACAGAATTTCCTCCTAGAATTTTAGTATGGGAAAGAAGGTCAGAGGGGTAAAATCCCTACTTCCAGGCTCATTGTCCTCAAAATTCTAGGTCTTCCCAGTGCTGATGGGTCCATCTGCTGTACGTATTCTGCACGGCTAGGAATCACAGCCACTCACAAGCAACTTGGAAGAACTGCAAAATCTTGTTCTTCCTGTCTACTCACAGATGGGCTACAACACTGCAACTAACTAACAAGATTCCAGCATGTCCTTCCCTTCTCACTGAAGGTGCTGACGGCTCCTATGTCCTATTTACATCACCAATGACATCAGGTGTAGAACTCTATTTACTATAAAGGTGCCTGGTAAGTATGCCAATTTTTCCTTTAAGTGAAAAATAAAATAAAATAAAATAAAATAAAATAAAATAAAATAAAATAA